AAGTCAGAGTCAACGAAACTCTCTCACTTCCACACCACGTCAACATCGGTGTACCGCAAGGCTCATTACTCGGCCCAGTTCTATTCAATATTTACTTAAATGACATTCCTTCACACCCACAAACAATGCTCAACATGTACGCGGATGATTCCGCAATCCTTGCAACCTTTAAAAACACTAAATCAATTACGACATCTATAATAGACACCTGGCTCTACTCGAAAACTACTTTAATCAATGGAAAATTAAAATTAACGTCGACACACACAAAACTGTTGCAGTACTTTTCACCAAAAGAATTAAACCAGTTACACCGCCCACTCTATATTCCACACCACTTCAATGGTCTCAGACCACAAAATACCTTGGTATTGTACTTGATAAAAATCTCACTTATTGTACTTGATAAAAACACCACATTCTACATGCGCGAGATAAATTCTGGAACGCTCTTAGATCAATTTACCCCTTAATATGCCGGAATTCCGATATGGATATGTTTAACAAAGTGCTTCTCTACACAGCCGTTTTGCGGCCCATTATATCTTACGGCTGCCCTGTATGGGGATATGCAGCAAAATCCAATGTTAAAATACTAGAAACTGCACAAAACTCTGTAATAAGAACTATCACTAAGGCAAACAGATATACTAAGAATTCTAATTTATACAAAGCACTTATAAACTTCATCCTTTTAAAAAATATATTCAAATTTTAGCTAAGAAATTATTTGCCAACATTCCTAATATCAATAACGCAAATTTAATTAATTTAGATAACTATGTACCTCTGGATAATCATAAGAGACCTAGGAGAATTCTCCTAGACTCTTATAATCCACCTTAATTACTTTTTAACTTCATTCATCTTTTGATGAATGACCTACTAAATTTTAAATTAAATTTTTTCTCAATATCTAACTCTTCATTGTTGCTCCCCATCAGGAACGCCCCTTCTTTTACTTAATTCTGGTACAGCCAACCGAGAGGTAACTCACTCAGTTTCAACTGCCAATCAAATTGCACCATATCCACATCCTACGTCATCCCCTGCCTCCCTCTACCACCACTTCGATTACTTCAACTTTCCAGTCAGCCAATCAGGAAGCTTCTTGCTCCCCACTCAGGACTTTCAACGCTCAGGCAACACTCACTATTCCGTGATGGGACTGAGGAACGCGCTTCGCGTTCCAGGTTCCAATAGTAAAATTCAGTCAAATTCACAGTCAAATAGTGATTCATTCTCCGAGTAGCGAATGATTGATTAGTTAAATTAATCATCTTCTTCATCAATGTAGTCGTTAAAGAGTGCAAGGATTATATATCTTTTTAATTTTCGATTTACTAATGTTGGATGATTTGTTTTTACTGATAGAGCTGTTGGAGGGGGAGTGGGGTCTGAGATGTTTATATAACTGATTTGTTGAACAATTGTGTTAATGCCATTATAGTTTGTTGAAGTGTTTGTGTAATGAGATTGAGACATTCATTTTTATTATTGTTATTACTGCGTAGTTGAATGGGAATCGGGGTAATAATTTCTTGGCAGTTGGTTGAGTGGTAGCAGTTGTGGGTGTGATGTGTGGCGACATCTGTTGAGGAGTATTTGAGTTTAAAGTGTTTTGTGTTACCTGCGCGTAAGGAATGTTAGGTCTGACAATACTATTCACTACATTGGAGTAGTTAGTTTTAATTGCAGTGCCTTTGCGGGGCTTGGGGAAAAGGAGGCATTGTGTGTAGTTGGCCATATGGCCCTATGATTGGCAGTTTATGCAGAAAAGTGATTCGACTCGCTTTATCTGGCATTCACGTGTGTGGTGAGCGTTTCCACATTTTAGACACTTTGGTGCTAAGGTATCCGACTACGTTCGGAACCGTGATTTTGCAAAAGCGTATAAACGGATAGTATTTACGATATTTAGTGTCACTTGGATTAGAAAATGCATATAAAATTGTTTTAAGAATAGTATTACAATAAAAAATTATTTAACTACAATATTTTGACAAAGAATGACCCATTTTAAAAATATTCCTTTTTTCTGAAAAATGCTTCTATTATGATAATATTTTGCCCGTATCTAGCTCAGACCTCTGTACAGAGGCTCAACTAGAATTTCTGAAATATATTACTTAGAAGTGGGTTTATCCATGTTTTACGACAACAGAGGGGAGAGATTTTAAGAAAAAAAACGCCGATAATTATTTCAAATACCTGTAACTCTAAAAATAATGTGAATTCTTCAAAAATCATAGTTGAGCCTCTATACAGAGGTCTGAGCTGTATACAGGCAAAATATTATTATAATAGAAGCATTTTTCACAAAAGGTGAACATTTTGAAAAAAGACTATTCTAAGTTAATTTTTTGCCGAAATATTGTATTTAAATAATGTTTTTAGCCAAAATGTCCTTATATAAAACAATTTTATACATGTATTCTAACCTAAGTGACACTAAATATCAAGACAATTTTCCATTTATGCGCATTTTTAAAATCACGGTTTCGAACGTAGTCGGATACCTTAAATGGCAGTTTCCTGCCGTGTGGTTAAATTGGTTGCATTGATAGCATTGGGTTACCCCTTTACTATCAAATTCTTCGACTATTATTGAGAGGTAACTTAGGGTTTTGAGGTCAAATACTTTTGCATTAGTTAGATTCCTGGGGAGTGTGACAGTGAAAACTGGAAGAAGTTGTTTAGTGATATTTCCGGTGATTTGGGTTATTCGATCGACCGTGAATCCCAGATCAGTGAGGTTGTTAGCAATGTCAGTAGTTTTTGTGTCTCGCGGTAGTCCTTTTATGACTACTTTAATAGGCCTTTGTGTTTTAGGTGTGATTGTGTAGTGTGGGAAGTTAAGTTTTTCGAGTGTATCATTAAGTTTGTGGTACTGGTCAAATATGTCTGTGTACAATTTAATGTATTGACCAGTCATTTTACTGCGTATGGCATTAAATCTGTGTTTTCATGTGTGTGCAGAAATTATCAGTTATTTTAAGCATGGTGGGGGAGGGAGATTTACAGTGGTGGAGTTAGAATTTCCTGTGTTCTTTCTGGGTGAGTTGTTGACGCTGTGTGGAACTGTGTGTGTGACTGCTACCTGGTGTGTTTCGGGGTTACACATTTTCCAATTCGCTAAATTTATTATTGAATTCTATGTTAAAATTAAGTTCTGGGTTTGAGCTAGTAGAGTTATTTTTGGTTAACTTTCTTAGTGGGGGGGGGGGGCGAAATCTGGGAAACAGTTCATGAATCATTTAAAATCGTCGAATTGAAAAAAAAAGTGATACTTTTTAATTCCTCAGAATTTATAAAGTATTAGGAATTTGTCTAGGAATTCCCAGCGACCACATTTGTGCAATGTGAGAATGAAGACGAGTTGCGCAGGTTACGTCAGCGTTTCTCAATTTGTGGGGCACGCCTGTTTAGGGGGGCGTGGTAAGCCAACGAGGGGGTACAAGCATATTGAGAAGTCGAAAATAGAACATTAATTAAAAATATTATTAATTTACAGAAAGGAAGCAAAACAAAATACATTCTGAAATAATAAAAAATAAAATACGCATTTACACTAACATAATATATTTATAAATGTATCAGTATTGCACAAAGTGTATTTGATAATTTAACAATACCAAGTTAAGGACAAGCTTAACAATTACCTATGATCCCATGGCCTTGTCATATATAAAATTATATAAAAAATTTGTAAGTTTTGTAAGTATGTATAATTTGTAAGTTTATAATTAAATTCGTATTATAGATTTACTTCAAATTACGTTATTATTGAATTCAATATTTTGTTATAGTTTGGATGGGGGAGGGGTGCGCGAAGAAAACTATGACTAAAAATTGGATCGCAAGAATCGGTTTGAGAAGCACTGGTTTACGCTTAGAACAACAAATGCAATGTGTAAATTCAACGTGCTTTGTTGTAGAAAGAATTTCTTCATTAAATAAAATTTTTAAAGCTTTATAAATAATGGTACATCCTGTACCAAAAACAAACAAGCATGAGAACTATTTTTCTGATTACGTATGAAGAGTATTTAAGATAAATTTTATAACAATTATGCCGTTCTGTTTCTGTTTTTCTACTCTCAAATAATGCGTGTGAAATATCTTCTCTCTGAATTTCGAAACCTAACTCCTCTGCGGTAGATTTTTATAATATAAGATCTTTGAGAACAAGTACCTAAAATCATCCAAGCTTTACGTTGAGTTTCTTAGCCTTTAAAGAGTTGTTAACAGAAATATAGCATTTATACTTATAGATGCCTCAAGACTACCAAGTGCGGTCCTTTTTAAGCGGTCCTTTTTTATACCATTTTATTTTTGTACGACCGCATAAAAAAATTTTCTGCAGTATTTCGATGGATATTTGATTGTTATATGTAAGAAGAATTCATGAAATTTTCGAATATTTCTTTTGTGCGGTTATTTTTATGCGGTTCCTATCAACCGCACAAAAACAGGTTCAACTGTACATACCTTTTTTACTGTCCTGTTCGATCCTTCACTAATTCACCTTCTTATTGGAGGCCATCGCAGTGATCTCGATGACGCAAAGAGTGTGTGGAGTCTTCTAAGAAGAGCCTTTTTTAGATTAGAATGTTTTTGTTCTTAAAACTTCTGCATTCTTTTAAATTGAGCAAATGGACGGAGAAATCTTTTTGATTTTTTTTCAGTGTTGCGCGGGATTTGTTATGTATGTGTAGACAGGGAGGACTTAAGGCATGGGCCAACTGAGCCCGGATGCAGGACCTCGGTCACAATGGGGATCCTCGTCTAGTTCTCGACTCAGCCTTAATAAGATCATGATTTGAATAATTTCTTCGGTCAGATGTTATTTCCCTTTGTATTCTCCGAAGAACAGGGAATTTCGGATATGTAAGCTGGTTATAACCATCGTCCATGTATAGGCCTGCAACTACCACCACAAACCATCATTCCTCATTCAGTCGAACGGCGGCAGTCGGTCGAACCAATTTGCACATATGCTCTACTGTAGCGCACTTGCGACCCCGGACATCTAAGGGCATCACAGACCTGCAATCGCTCCTTTTCGTACGGCTTTGAAGCCGATGGTCCTTCTAAGAAGCCTCCATTCCCATTCGTAGGAATGATCCGTATTTAATAAGCAAGAATCTTGTTCGTTTATCGGAATTAACGAGACAGGGGACCCCATGATCCAACTGCAGTCATGAACCACCATCCACAACCTCTACAAAGAGCTATCAATCGGTCCATCTGTTAGGTGTCCGGGCCGGGTAAGTTTTCCCGTGTTCAATCAAATTAAGCCATAGGCTCTACTCCTGGTAGTGGCCCTCCGTCAATTCCTTTAAGTTTCAGCTTTGCAACCATTCTTCCCCCGGAGCCTGTACTCAGGTTTCCCGGGCAACCTGCCCGGCGCGTCACGTTCGTACGCAGCCGGATCACTGGCGGGTATCGTTTAGTGTCAGAATTACAAAAGTATCGAATCTTGTTTGAGCCTCTGACTTTTGTTCTTGGTTAAGGGAAGCATTCTTGGCAAATGCTTTCGCAGTGGGTCGTCTTCTGACGGTCCAAGAATTTCAGCGTCGGAACACGAATGCCACCCCCGTCTACTCCTATTAATTGTAAATCATGCATATTTATTTGTTTTGGGTTATTGTTTGTACGAGTATTTAACAACGTATGCTATGTACTATTTACTTTTAAGGGTCATAGGTGCGACCTATATCTGTGTAAGGGCCCAGGTCCTCAAGAAGTCTTAAGATGTCACAGTATGAAGATTATGTTCTCATGTAGTTATATCCACTTTAAATTGATATTGAATAATACCGGAAGTGATTATTTCTTTTACTTGCATTGTTGTAACCCAGTGAGTTCAACACTTCTGAAGAAACGAACAAAAATTCTTATGAGTACACAGTGTTGATCCTAGGAGGTGATCAGTACTTGCAATGCAGACATGCGGCTTAATCAAGGGAGGCATCAAGCCGCATATACCCTGGGGTTCAAAATTCAGAGAATTTTCAGATTTGGTCGATTATCTCCAGAATTACTGCACAGATTTTAATGAAATTTGGTATATACACAATGTTGATATGATGCAAAATAAATAAATAAATAAAATAATAATAATGATTATTCAAAAGTTATAGTACACACGTATGATTGTGCGTAAAACTAATCGGATATGGAATGTATGAAATAGAAGTTTCAGTAGAAAACAAAAACAAAATAGTTAAATAGGTGAAGTGTGTCCCCTCTCACAGATATACAGGTCACGCATAGTATTTTTATACTGGAAATGACGGAGTACAAGAGTTCTTGTGGCGAATGGTCCCACTCGTTCAGTAACACTGATTTTAAGCCAAAAAACCGGAGAACCATTTAAGCATATTTAAATGATTCTCAGAGAAGCGTTTGCGAGTTGCAATTGTTCACACCCAGAGCGTCCCAAGCATGCTTTATAGGTTTGTGATTTGGAGATCTGGCTGGCCAAATCATCCGGCAAATCTCCTCCTCCGTGTTGTCATCCATTAAAATGAAATCGGGGCCAACTGTATCTCTGAAAAGGCAATCATGGGGTTCCAAGACCTCATACTTATACCTCACAGCTCAGTCACAGTACCTCTTTCAAAGACATGGGGGGGGGGGGCGGGGGGCCCGTTGGTGAAGGGTAACAGAGTTGTTGGGGGGGCATGAGTGTGTGAGGTATATAAAACAAAAGACCGACTGCCTAGAGGTGCGAGATGCACGTTAGATCAGTTGAGAGCTCAAACTTCCTCCCGTTGGTGTGGTGTGGTAGTTAGGAGAGGGGGGAGTGCCAGCTCAGGTGACGTTCTCGTCACTTGACTATGGCTCAAAATTACGTGGTCCGTCGCCAAAAGCCCTAGTGTAGCCGAACAGTGCGATATTAATATTCAATCAATCAATCAAAGTTCTTATTCAAGTATAGCCGTTGCTTTCTTTATATCACTCTAAGGGTTCCCTTTATAGATTACTTGTTCTGGAATATTATCTTTGATAATAATAAATTAGATTTATTATGGATGGTCATTCATCGTTACCTTCCACAGCTTTAGGAAAGCCCTTGTGTAGCTGAACAGTGCGACGTTAATATTCACTCACTCACCCACCCACAGCTTTAGGTATACAAACTGATGAGGAAGCGACCCCTGGGGTAAGATTATTACATTACGGCCCAACGGGATTGTCCCAAGGGCATCTTAATTTCCCTAACCCTGAGATAGGAGTCGTGTCTGGTGTTAAAGTTTTGCCCGAATATTTTTCGTGGTCGAAAAATGTAGATCAGTTTTTAGATAATATCGAAAGCAGTCTGATGTTTTATCTAATACCCGCAAGTTTATCCTGTGCATATCTGAAAAGTCATCTCACGGGACGTGCCTGAGGTTGGTATGAGGTATTAGGTTATGCCCTTGTGCAGGGTGAGGAAACTTATTTTGATCAGTTAAAACAGGCGTTGAAAGAAAGTTTTCCAACTGTGCGAAATAAGGCAGAGTTACGCCCGTATTCACCGCTAACTTGATTTCCGGTTAGAGGAAGGAAACCTGGGTTTCGTCGAAAACGCTATTCACCATCGCAAGTTAATAACTTAACTCCGGGACAGATTAAAAATTTCTAACCCAGGTCTGAGCTGGGTTAGTTTAAACCGGGCATGCGCAGTAAGCGATTTTTGGAGTGTTTACAGTTTCGAAGCAGTTTTGCGAGTTCGGATTTTTTTAAACTTTTACGATGAATCCTTGAAATTTTTCTTCAATTTCATTTCTACATTATTTAAAGGAAATAGGAAACCAGAAGAGAGAGGATACTAAGAAAAAAATAAATAATGTATTTGAAGAAATGGACGGCTACGAGTTTCGCAAAATGGTATTAATTAAATTAAAAATTAAATAACATTGATGGATTTGTCGCGCCGTTCATGGATTCATCAGTCCATCAGTCTCATTAGATTGCCGTGGTATTTCATTATATGCTTCGTTGTTTTGTTTTTTTTCAAACTAACCGCATTAGTTTCTTTGTTTTCTATAACATTCAAGTGTTCCTTTTCTAAATTGCGTAAAATAAACTTTGAAAGTATTCATTTTGAAAAATAAACATTGAAAAGAGACGAATATGCAACTCTTCTGTTCGGATTGCAAACAAATATGTCGAAGTCACGGGGTTTACTTCGACCAATGGGAATCGACCAGTAACCCCAGGTTAAGAAACCCAGAGTCAAGTAACTGGAGGTCGAAAAACAGCTGTGAATTGAAGTTCTAACCTGGGGTTAGTTTTAACTTGACTCCCGGTTACTTAACTCCAGGTTTCATCGCTGGGTCAGGTTAGCGGTGAATACCACCGTTAGAGGATAGATTTTTTGCGTCATGAAACTAGAGGTCAAGCTCCGTCAGATTTTGTTTACGAATTATTAAAGCTATAAAAAGCTCTTAAGTTAGAAATGACGGAACAGAGTTTGATTCGACACATTGTTAATCGTCTCGAACCTCAGGTTTTTGACTACGCGCGTTGAGGTTAGAAACCCCACCACTAGACCTCATCTGTTACAAGTGATCTCAAAATTTGACGAAAGATATTCGGCCAGGGAAACCCAAGGTTTGAGTAAAAATTATAGTGAAAGACGAGATTGGGATGCACGTTGGAGATCTTCCGACGATCGTAGGAATAGAAATTGAAGGGATGTAGTTTTGGATCGGCAAAATGATAGGAGAAATAATTATAGAAGTACATACGGGAATAGACCCCAAGGGAACCAGGTTAATCCAGAGTTCGAGAAGAGAAACCGTAATAACAGAAATGATCATGGGATCGAGAATAGTGGTTATAGGAATCAGTTCGGGAATAGGGGTCCGAGTGAGAATTTTAACGAAGGAGACCGAAGACAGGGTGGTTGTCTAAATTGTTTGGATGTTCAAGTTGATCAAAATGATCAATCACAAATTGAAAAGAATCCTCCTATCATTGTTTCCTGTCCTCCTATCATACTGTGCATGTCTCATGTAGAACTTTCATATGTACCTATTTTATTGAATGAAACGTTTATAAAATCTTTATGAGATACTGGGGCAGAAAAATAATTTATTTCTAAAGAAGTTTATAAAAATATTTTTTTTTTACAAACCAGTTAAGAAGCCACAAGCCGAGTTAATGACAACACAGGGTGCCTGTTGTAAAAATATAGGGTAATGGCACGCGATACAATATTTTTGGCACGTCAGTGATCAAAATGGTTTGCACTTTATTTCAAAATTTCAAAGTTCACTATGAAGTATTACGAACAAACTCGAGTTATCGGCAGCGGGGTGGCGGGGAACACACTCATTTGTTATTGTCTTGCCTTAGTTACGTCATGGACAACAGATGCTTATGATGCAAAATTTGTCTACGCATAGCATAGTCAATTTCGTTTTTCGTTGAGACAACTTTATTTTTGTTATTACGACTTTGAGAACTTTATGTCATATTTACGATTTTTAACTATTATTTAACATGGCTAGTTCAGCAAAAGAATAAAAAGTGCAAGATAGTAAGTGTAACAGGGAATTTCAATCTTGGTGAATCTAGAAATATGGCATTTTTAGTAAAGGCGACAAAGTGGTGCGTGTTTTATGCTCAGGAACAGTAGTATGCAGAACATCGTCGGTAAAACGGTAGTTTAACACGAATCAAAAATCCTCTTGTCAAAAAAGTGAACCACAGCAAAACTAATTAATTGCTTATAGAAATCGTTTGGTAGATAATTTCAATTCTCAGCATGTATTTTATACTAATGTAGCTGAACAGTGCGACGTTAATATTCAATCAATCACTCAATCAAAGCATTTTATACTAAAAATAACATCTTATAAAACTACCATAAGTAATTTGTCATCCAATCTCTGCAACATTAGAAGTCTCACTAATGTTACTTTATAATTTGAATTACACGTATCAGTAAAACATTTACAACTATAAAGTGCAAAAAGTATTTTTTTTCGTAGTAAATAAAGAGTTTCGAGGTGTTAGAATTTAGTTTTATTGTTTTCTAAATAATCACAATTCAATTTTATTTGACGGCACGTTTATGCTCCATTAAACATCTTTTAAGAAAAAATGGCACGTTGATCCATAAAGGTTCGCCCTCCCTGCACTATGCCAACTTGAGTGAGGGGGTGAATATATTATCGTCGCTCTATTCAGCTACTCAAAGGCTTTTGGTGACGGACCTCGTTATTTTGAGCCAAGGTCAAGTGACGAGAACGATACCACAGCTGATACCCCCTCTCCTAACTCTCACACCACACCACACCAACCACAGAATGTATGATCTCCCGACAGTTGTAAAGTGAATCGCGCTCCCCTACCAGGAGGGTATTCAGCGGTACTAGGCTCGAACTGATGTCACGCCGGTCACGATGTTACCGCGGCTACATGCCAACTTGAGAAGAAGTCTGAGCCATGTGATGGATTTAACACACATAACATCTTCTTTATACAGCGATAATTTAATGGTACCGGGGATCGAATGGATTTGATTTTTTATTAAAGCTTCAATTGTAAACTGTGCGTTGGCTATTCAGGATGAATATTGTAATTTTGGACCTCGGTCAAGTGATGAGTACCACCCTCATACGCTGGTACCTGCTATTTAAACGTCCACAGTAAATCAACGAAAGGTTTTTGAAAAACAACATATATAGCGAGCATCGTCTCCTCCACACGTTGGGTCTTCCATCATCGTGCCAGTAATCGAACACATGACTCAACAGAAACAGTGAGGGTCACGAGTTCGTGATCTTGACCACTCGGACACAGGACGGCTTTCCGCTATTTGATACACATATCATAGCATTTAGCGACATTTCCAAATTTGACATATTGGTGAACGGTATGATCAGTATTGTACTTATTGACTTCCAAAGACAATGCAAAGTATTTTCAGGCTGCGGTGAGTGAGTGAACATTAACTTCCACACTCTCCAGCTTCTCAAAGGCTTTTGGCATAGTGAGAGCTCATAATTTTGAACCATGGTCTAGTGACGAGGACGACGCTAGAGCTGGCTGCTCCCCTTCTCCTAACTTCCACACCACACAAATTGGAGGATGTTTGAGCCTCAACAAATTTAACGTACCACGGCCACCTTTACACAAATGGTCTTTAGCGGTACCAGGCTTGAGCACAGCGGCCATGAGTCCGTTACCTTGCCCACTAGCATACCGAGACCATTTAATATTTATGAAAGAATTTTTAAATGTACTCGTACTATACAATAATTAACGTACGCACATGAAATTCGATTCACAAATATGCCAAGTTATGTATAATCGAAGATGGTATGGATTTTCTGCTCTCTCTCTCTCTCTCTCTAGCATGTTTGATATTAATAAAACAATTTCTCTGAATGCTGACAGAAAATTCGTTGGAAAATGTGTAAATCTTAAAATCAACTGTTTATTATTACATAAGTATTGATTAGATTTAAAAAATACATACCACCTTTTTTACATGTACTAATAGAAAGAGGTTAAAAAAAAGTTGAAAGCATTTGACTCAATAGAAAAAAAAAGCCTTAGTATTTAAAATGAAGATAAGGAACATTTTCTTTTTGAGATAAATCCATTTAAAGTTTCTTTTTGACATTGGGATATGAATAAAATCGTTCATAAAAAAAGTCATCGTAACTCTAAATTTAAGTTTAATGAAGTCAAAATTAGTGAGATCATAGAAAATTATATAAGAAATAATTTAAGGTTAAAAAAAACTTGTTTGAATTTATGACCGACTTTTGTCAATTAAATCGTATTGTCTTGGTGGTGGTTGGTAAATGGCTGTGCACATTAAATCTGCTATAAACATTGTTACATCTAGAATAAATTACGAAAGAACTTGCCAATTAATTACACGTGGAGCTTTCCTACATTTGCAAGAAAATGTATCAGTTAAAATAGTAAGAACTAACCATACATGTTTACTTTATCAAAACAAAAAAAATTCCACACACAAATGCATAAAGTCTCTCGTTGATTGTGTAATTTACAATTCGTATAGCAACCACTAAAAGAGACTTTTTTGCTAATTGAAATTTAAGGAAGTCTGAAAAATGAGTATCAATTTATTATTTTTGAAGTTATACTTCTTTTGGGGCGTTAGAGAAATAGGATGAGGGTAAATTTTTACAATGCGCGCGCACAACGTCACGAATGTGACGCAGAACCGTCATGGATGTGACGCACACCGTCACAGATGCGAAAATCCTTTGTCAGGAAACATAAAGAGTGGGAAAAATCATTCCCGCCTTCGCCAGGGACCTCCCGATCTGCAGCCGGTGGCCGCGGTAGCCGAGTGATATAGGTATCGGATCGTGGCTTGCCTTGTCATGAGTTCGAGCCCAGTACCACTAAAGACCCGCCGTGTAGGGCAGCGATGCACGTTAAATGTCGAGAGCTGAAACGTCCTCCCGTTGGTGTGGTGTGGTAGTTAGGAGAGGGGGTGCTAGCTCAGGTGTCGTCCACGTCACTTGACTATGGTACAAAATTACGTGGTCCGTCGCCAAAAGCCCTCGAGTAGCTGAACAGTGCGACGTTAATATTCAATCAATCAACCGATCTGCAGTCTAATGCTCTATCACTGAGCTGTACCCCCGTGTCAGCGAACCTTTGCTTTGCGTTCCGTAGGAACGGATACGAAAATGCTTTGTCTAGAAATATGCAGAACGGGACACATCATTCCCGCCTTCGACCCCCTCTCCATGTTATTGGTGCTATTGTTCCTGAGCGCGGGGTCTTTACATTTATTTAAATCGAGATTATCTCAGGTTTGGCTGGTCCGATTGACTGAAGGTTAGTATCGTTCAACTCTGCTCGTGACCGCCTTTCATCCTTTGCCCAGCTTGCCCTGCTAAAGATTTTTAGAAAGATTTTAATCTTGTTACGCCAAAGTATAAATTCTTGCATGCGTGCATAAGTAAACAAACACTTTTTTTTCCCTTTCGCCGCACCCCACACCAGGCTTGCTCCCAATTTTCTATTTCCTATTCCCATTCAATATCTCAGTACAGCCAATAGAGAGGAAACTCACTCTCTCTGTTGCTACATCCAATATAGAATTGCTCCTTCTCACCACAACCCTGTGCCGCAACGAACCTGTGGATGCTTGTGTCATTCCTCATTGCACCATCTTGACAGCACCGAGTCCTCATCGATCACCATCCTAACAGCGCCGCATCCCTCAACCCATCAGGAGGCACCTCTTCAATCCTCTACTACTGCCAAAGACTAGTGTCTTCCCGGAGGCTCCTTCTCCCCACAGACATGAACATCAAGGACCCAAAAACATTTCAGATATGGGACGGAGGATTAAATTTATAATCCAGTTCCCAAAGACACTCAGCGTATATAATGAGTATCAAATAATGCTACATTTAATAGATTTCAAATAATCGCTTTATTAACTTAACTCAAAACAAATGCAATCATTTGTTTTAAAAAAAGTGTGTGTGTACTTATGTACGCAGTAAGAAGTTATACTTCTTTGGCGTAACAAGATTAAAATCTTTCTAAAAATCTTTAGCGGGGCAAGCTGGGCCAAGGACGAAAGGCGGTCACGAGCAGAGTTGAACGATGCTGATCTTCAGTCAATCGGACCAGCCAAACCTGAGATAATCACGATTTAAATAAATTTAAACACCCCCGCACAGGGACAATAGGACCAATAATATGGGGAGGGGGTCGAAGGAGGGAACGATCTGTCCCGTTCTGCATATTTCTAATCGAAGCATTTTCGTATCCGTTTCTACGGAACGCAAAGCAAAGGCTCTCTGACACACGGGGTGTATAGCTCAGTGGTAGAGCATTCGACTGCAGATCGGGAGGTCCCCGATTCGAACCCGGGTGCCCCCCTTTTCAGGGAAGTGAAAAGAAATAACTTTTTTAGAATTTCGAAGGCGGCATTTCCGTAAACGTTCCTACGGAACACAAAGCAAAGGTTCGCTAACGCGGGTATATAGCTCAGTGGTAGAGCATTCGGCTGCAGATCGAGAGGTCTCCGCAGATCGAGAGGTCCTGCGTGTCCCCTCCTTCAGGGAAGTGGAGAAATATTTTTCTGAGAATTTCTCGAAGGCGGGAATGATTTGTGTGTGTGTGTGTCCCGTTCTGTGTATATTTCTTGACAAAGGACTTTCGCATCTGTGATGGTGTGCGCGCGCATTGTAAAAATTTACCCTCATCCTATTTCTCTAATGCCCCAAAAGAAGTATAGCTTCAAAAATCCCTTTGATGTTTAAAGCGACGCAAGACTCGTCACCCTGTGGCATTTTGTACAGGAGAATGCCACAAAGAAGTACAGAGATGTCCCTGATATAACACTGTACTTGTAAAACACTGTACAAAATTTGCGATCATTACAACACGGATTTGCTATTACACGTCACAAAATTTGAATTTTATAATTCAATTAAATGAAAATTCTTTTGTTGAAAAAGACCCTTCAGTAGAACGTAGCGGAAAATTTAAAGAGAATTTCAAAGTTCTTTAGATCCTTACAGAGAAATTCTGAAAGAATTGCAAGATCGAAACAGACTGGTAATTGCAACCACGTCAGATAACTTTTGCAATGATGGAGAAATAACTAGTGAAGAGAAATTTCAACCAACTTTTTAAGGTGGGGGGATATACATTAGTTATGATTTCTGGTAAGAATGCTGATGAAAATTAATTTTGTTATCCTAATAAGCCTTTTCTATATATTTTATAATATTAATTATCTTTTGACTGTATTTTTTGTTGTATTTTTAGTTTTTCTACCTCATATTTTTGTTTTTGATTAAAAACTTGAAGTTAACTTCATTTGTATGTTTTACTGGAACGAAATTGCAGCTTCTTAAAATTTTACACCTTAAGACATGATTTCGATATAGCATGGTACACATTGCACATACATATTATTTCAAAGTTTTGTATAAAACGGTTTTGACACAAGAAACAAATTCCTCTGATTCATATTATTTACATACATAATAAATTTAAAAAATAAAAATAAATAAGCAAAAAAGTCTTGTATAGAAACTCGAATTAACCGCTCTGTAAGGGGGACGCCCGTATATAAAAATCATTTTAAGTTTGAGCAACAAAAAAAAAAAAAACCTGAGGAACTAATTTGATAACAGAGGTAATAGCGCCAAGCAGCGCTTCTTGTTGCTGGAATGAAATCCAATATGGCGGCCTAGCGGTAATTTAATGATACACAATAATTTAAAAGAATTGTTTTGAAATACATTGAAATGTATTTCAAATAAAAAATATAGGAAGAGATTGAGAATAACCTAGATCAATCAATAAATAATGAATAATAATATTATGTAATAAAAAGTAACATGAACTAATAATAGTATTATAAGCAGCATATAATATATATAATCTTATAATATTATTTTATCATAATTATATATAATATACATATAGTACGATTTTATAACAGTTATTAAAAATAATAATCATATAATATAATTAAAAAGTAATTATTAAAAAGAATAATCGTCGAATTTTAAAAAAATAAAAATAATGCATAAGAGAACTCGTAATACATAACTATAAATAAACATAAGAATAGCTATAAATAAACAAAAGAAATAGTTATAAATAAATAAGATAATAATTATCAATAAATAAGATAATTATAAATAAATAAGATAATAATTATAATTAAATAATAATTATTATAAATAAATAACAATATTAATTATAAATAAATAACAAAATATGTAACAATAGTTATAAATAAATGCTAAAAGAAACAATTATAAATAACGATTATATGATGAGTACACATAGTAATTGCGTTTTTTTTCATTATGAATAAAATAATTTCATAATGTTTGTTAAAATTAATTTAGAATATCAATTACAAAGTAGTGAAAGCTTGCAATATGAAATTTGCACTGCAAGTTCCTTCAACGAGTATCATCGAACAAAGAACGTAAAAAAATATTTTTAAAACGAAAATAAAATATTTATAGCGATAATTAAAAGCACAACACTTATTCTTTTAAGAAAAAAATATTTTAGCACTCACTCATTTTAGAAATATCCATATTCGAAAGTAGCCCAGAATTAAACAGAAGACGCAAATAGAAAAATTAAACTGAAAATGGTTAAATTTTTAAAGATATCGTCTGAAATTAAAGGGTTATAGCGGGAAAAAACGAATAAAAGTTATTTCTAATATACGTTATCCCCATGACAACCACATCGACAGACGATTAAAATATTAAGCTAACCATATTGTAATATTATCGCTCATCTTGGCGAACATAAACAACAGCTTGGTGCTACTACCCCCGACATCAAATTAGCACGCGCTTTTCTAATAGTGAAAAATAAAAAATGAATCGTTGATCGTACATAGAAAAGAAACCTCGATTCATAGCGGATTTTCTGACTGTTTTGGCATGCTGCATAAAAACTCTTTGAAGGTCGCTAGTAACCCCAGACCCTTCTAAATTTTTCCAGACACACCTACTATATTTGCTTACCAAACTTGGCAACTAAATCATTCGCCAAGCTGTTTGACACTGAGGAAATGCTTATGAACTTAAAGTAACACGAGCGCTATTGACAACCTTCTGTGTAATTTTGAACCGGGGTCAAAACAACTTAGTGGGCGCCAACCTCCCAGAATTTCCACACAATCGTATTGGCAGAGAAATTTGCCTTACAATAATGAAAATATAATTTCGAAAAAGAAAAAATTTATTAAAGGGTAAAAAATATATTTCAAAACATTTTCTTGTACGCTTAGGAGACCTTTAATGTTATTCATCTATAAATGTAGAATACTAATTAAAATATTTTTGTCATAAGTATATTACGTAGGAATAACATGCTAAGCTTTATGAAATCATAAGTTATGTATGGAAATCCATGCATTTTAAAAATAATTTTTAATACGAAGCTATTAATAAGAGAATAAATTTATTAAGTTTTCTTAAAATCCAAATACATTGTGAAAAATTGTTTTCAGGAAGTTTCCTCAAAAAACATTGATTACAAGACATACGCTAAATTATTTTTTAAAATTATGTATTTATTGAACATTTATAATTAAAAACGTCATTCTGTTGTATATTCAACATCGTTTGTTTGTGTTTTTAAGAAATATTTTGCTATTCTTGTAAAAAATTTGAATATGTAGCTAACATTTGGAATCTCTTGTAGCACCATTCTGTTTGAGATGCTATCTGGACAAATGTCTCCGTATTTGAATCTCGGAGCAATATGGACTGATCTAGATTTTGCCATAAGATGATTAATCTTCTCTCAAATTCCTTACAATAGACTTTATAAACTTCTGGGTTGTCTAATCTTGCAAATATTATTTCCAGCATTTTAAGTTTTGCTAATTTGTAAAAATAAAATTCAAAACTTTTCATACCTGAAAGTAGAATATTTTCAACGATCTTAAGTTTTCTTTGAATAACCTCAATTGTTGACATTAATTCATCAGCGATCTCCTCTATAACCTCGTCCAATATTTCCTCACATTCAGCTATCAAGTTTAAAAGAGGCTTAAATTTTGAAAGATAAGAATTAATAAAATGCACAATTTTTAAGTCAGTTTCAAAATAATTTTTCATTGATTCCAGATAATCCATTCTTTCTTCACAGTATATTAAGAATTCTTTAGACACAAAACTATCAACAATCCATTTAATTGGACAGGATAAATTAACAGCTTCTACACCTATAGTTTCCACAAATTTTGGACTAAAGATATTTTTTAATGAAATTATTTTTGGTAGGTCCTTTTCTTTCGACTCTTTAGAAAAGGAAAATTTGGGATTTGGATCAATTTTAGTACTGTGAATCAAACCTGTGTCTTCAGTCGAAGAACTTTTCATGTTAGTTACCGTTTCGCTGTGATTAATTGTTGATGAAATGCTTGAATTGATATTTGAGGTATCACTTCCAGCAACTGTATCTGTTTGGTCATCTTTCATCAAGCTATCCATTATCTTCAGATTATTAGTTGTGAAGACATTTTGTTCCATACTAAAATTTTTCAAGTCTATCAAAGAGCTCTCAGTAATAATTCGTTCTGTCTCTAAACTGTCTTTATTGTCATCTTTTCTCTTTGGGCTGATCATTTGGGCATCCTTCCCTTCGCGGCTGTTCATTCGAGCATCCTTCCTATCGGGGCTGACCATTCGAGCATCAATCCTCTCGGGGCTGAGCATTCGGGCATCAATCCGCTCGCGGAGAAAAAATGAGAGATAAAGAGAGTCAAGGATGAAAAGAAAGAAAAACAAAGAGGAAGACATATAA